ATTTTTTTGTACACGTGCATAATACACTGCTTCTCTACAAGTGACTAGCTGAACACCCATGTTAATGTTGTGTAATTGTGTTTTACAACCAAACAATTCATTTGGCCATCCTAAATTCTTAAACCTCCTAAATGTTCAAATTCCAAAATGCCACTTGAATATTGATGCAATAGCTCCAATCAACTTGTAAGCTGTGTCTAGCGTCCTGGTGTCTCCAACTCTATCTTCTCATGTTGGCAAATCCATCCTAACTTTATGCTTTCGAGACTTCAATTGCCAGCATCCATTCTCAAGTAAAAGTAGACAATTGCACATTGGCCAAGGACGTAAATCACCTCGTATTACCATGCATAGGGTAAATTGCAAATTAGCATTTAGTAGTTCGGGGCTAGTCTCATAATTAGTACTTTAACTTCAAAACCTGACACTATAATACCTAACCTCTTGAAAACTACCAATTTAGTCCAAAATTATCAACTAACTAACTGGCACTGATGGCATGTAAAAGGGAATAAATACCCTTTAAGTTTTGAATAGCCGAATAGGCGAGAGAAGCATAATTTTGAAATGGCCAAAATAGCCATATTTAAATTCCTTTTCACTATGATTGGACACCATTGTTCACTTTATACCCTAACCTTTTGCTAAAGAACCAATGCTTCCCCCATTGGAGAAGCTACACGAAAAAACATCGTCAGAGAAGAAAACATTGTTGCAAGAGATGAAGGATTTAAACCACTGTCATTGTAATCCTTTTTTTTTTTCAGTTATTCAATCCATAACAAATGAGGGGTTTAGACGATTATTGCCGGAGAAAACAAATAATTCTTGTCATTGCCAAGGAAGACAATCAAGGTAAAATGGTTTCAAATTTGTTAATTTGACATTTAAAAAAAGTTTAGTCAATACATGTCATCATGTGATACAAATACCTGATGAATTGCTAACGATGGATACTAAATTGACATTTTTCGAGAGTCCAGATACTGCAATGGCACATTTTTAAGTTCAGGTACTAAAGTAAGAATAGCCCCAAACTACAAGGTACTAATTTACAATTTACCCTAAATGTAATCACCATGGCCAAACTGAGTAATGAACCATGGTGCCTAACACCCTAACCTATGAATGACCTTTATTTTTTCCTTCTGTTTATAATTGATAAATATATACCAATTCCTAACCGACCATAACACCATAGAAACGAGCAAGTGCTCCTTCTTTATTTAAAAAGAGAACTATCTGAAGAACATTTTTCTTTACTATTGGTTGTTGTCCCGCCTGAGTTCATCAATTCAAGAGAACCACGTACGTCTCCTCTCTGTAGATTCCTTGGACTGTATTTTGTAATTAAGAGCTAGAATTACTTGGAGTTAGAAAACCGAAGGGAATCTAAGCATATGGCTTTACTCTTTATGCATGCCAGATTATATATTCATTATTTTTATGGCTAGGACTAGGTGGTGACCGACTGAGCAGGAAATTAGAGGGCAGACCTCAATGAACACCCATAAAGAATAAAAAAGATACAGATAAACTATAATGACAGAGAGGAGAAAGTTTTAAATTTAAGTAGATTTCATTCTCAATGTAGAAAATCATTTCTGGTGAAACTTGAGGGATTCTTGTTAGTAGTAGAGGAAAACAAAATTTCCTGATACATATTAACTTGAGGGATTTAGAAACTTAGAAACCATTTCTGGTGACACTAATACTTACATGAAGAGGAGGTGATCCTGTTGATGTGAATTAGAAAATCACGTGTAGATAAGCAACAGTGTAATGATTCTAGCAAAATAAAAATTAAAAAAAAAAATGAAAGAAAGAAAGAAGTTAAGTAAATAGGTGATGATGATGAAGATGGTTGAATGTATGTTATTATGTTAATCACAATTAAAAGCTAGGTGGTCATATTTACACATCATATCTGCAAATAGGGGTGCAACTTGGGCAGGCCCAGCYCGAGCCCGAACCGTTCCAATTCGGAATTTTATACAGGTTGGGCTTGGATTTTGGTCCTTAGGCTGGACCTGGGCCCAAGAAGTCAGATTTTTTTATTTTTTGGGCCGGGTTCAGGCTTAGCCCTTAGGTAGCTCGAACCCGGTCCGAGTATGTATATATATATATATATATATATATATGTGTGTGTGTGTGTGTGTGTGTGTATAGATGTAAATGTTGCATGCATATTTATAGGCATACATAAATATATGTATATATATTTGCATACATACATACATACATACATAAATACATACATATATAATTTTAGAGTGGGTTCATTGACCAACCCGAACCCAACCCGAATGCATCAAATTACAGGGCAGGCTGGGCTCGGGTTGGGAAAATTGAGTTTGACTTCGGGTTTGGGCCTTAAGCCCAAATTTTAGGGTCAAGCCTTGATTGACCATAAACTCGGCCCAACCTGCCCGACTTGCACCCTATATGCCAAGGATGCCCACCACAACGGAGATGATGATGATACGTGCATAAATGACTTCTATTACATGCATGCTCTTCTTTTACCAATAGCTTTGATCAAGAAGGGGGAAACATGTAAACTTGTTCTAAATAGTGAACTCTATTAACATCAAAGGTAGAATTATGGTATTTAATTTTTTTTTTTTTTTTAATTTTTGGTGAAGAACAGGAAGAGGGAATTGAATGACTTAACTTGATTAGTGTTGAATGGGTCATCCCCTCCCTTCTCCACAGTTTGAGAGGTTTTGTGGCTTAAATTCTCTAGCAGGTAGCAGCAGTAGCCAGTAAGTACCCTTTGATTTGGAAGTTGGCACTGCATTGAGGGTTAGGAATCTTGCAGTAACCAGAAATGTATACTGCTGGTGGGACTACAAATCATCATCCAACTATATGGGGCCCCACAAACCACTTTTGCTACGACACTGTCATAGAGCTGTGTTAAAACAAGAAAATCAAAGGCTTTGATATATAGATATGGCCTGGCCTTGAATGAGATTAAGTTAAGTCTCTGGTAGGGCCGAGTCATAGCAATAAATCTAAGGCCATAATTTTTGGTTTTAGCCCTGCACTAGGACACTGATTGTAGTAAATTTGAGCTCATTAAATGTCCTAAAAATTTTAAATAATTGGCACTTAAATCATTTATTGCTATATCTATCATGCCCTTTTTGGTCTATCTCTTTTCCTTCTAGTCCCAGGTATTGTCAATTCATCTAAGATTTGAATCCAATTTTGCCATTCGGTTTTATTCATTAAGGTCATATCAATCCTCAAATTGCAGTTGCTTAAAATAAAATATGAAATATTTATTCATTCAAAATACATTAAACTTCTACCACAATATCCTGATTGTCAACACTCAAAAAGGCTGTTATTACTGAAAATTGTCACTTTATTTATGGTGCTCCATTCCAAATATTCCTTCAATTTTCCACGGTCATTTTTCAGAAGATGGATTCCAAAACCCACTCAGGCTTGTTTTCATGTTAAATCAATCAAATTCAAACCTAAAATTGAAAAAAAAAGGGTAGAAAAATGATTCGTGTTTTCCTTCCTCTATGTCTTTCTCTATCGTAGCCTTGGTCAAAATTCCTGTATTTAGCATGTAATTATAAATTAAATGTAAGTCACATAAAATTAGAAAAAAAAAGAGAGAGAGCAAAGGAGACAGAAAAGCCTGATGACAAGGACAACGCATGCATGTTTAGCAACTGGAAACACACCAATCATTCACAGAGACCCGACAGTAGAGTAGGGTTGGGAGATGATCTGTGATTGCCAGGTGTCAACTATCTAATATATATATGCTCGGAGCCTCGGACTCGGATCCGTCGCTCTCACATTAAAACCATGCACATATACGTCCTCTCAGAACCTATTGTCTTTGCTTTTTACCCTCTTTGGCTCTTTCTGTATTGGGAGAATATTAAACCATTTGAGTTCGTTTTAGCAGAAAACTAAAGGGTTCGAATTTAAATTCGACCTAAAAAAAATTAATTAAAATTAGACTTTAACTCAAAAGCTCGTAAATGATAGGCTATCTAGGTGGGACCCATGAAACTGTGGGCTCGTGGGCCATGACGCCCAGCCATGATCATGTGAATAGAGGAGGAGCAGACAAATTGCCCATGTCGGCCGCCCCCTAGTCTGGGCAGTGGGCACCCACTCGGACCCAAGCAAGATCCGATTCCTAATCGGCTATTGATGTGATGGAGCACATCCCTACAATTCTACAAATGGGGGTAGGCTCCTGTAATAAGTAGATGTACACCTGTACAAAGACGGTATGAATCTGGTTTGATTGAAAGAGGGGGAGGCGAGGGGAATTAGATTAGGGAATGTTATTACTGGTTGGAGCAGAAAATGGAGTTTGACCGAGTACCGAGTACTACTGAGAGAGGAATAATAGGGAGAAAGAATGGATCAGACGAGACGCAGGCAGAAGTAGTTGATTGATTCTCAGCTTCTCACACCTTTGAACGATGAACACAGTTGATTGATTGGACACCCAACACTTGGATGCCTTCACAACTAAAATCCCATTTTAAGCCCCCCCCCCCCCAAAAAAAAAAATCCCTCCCTTTCAGGAATCTGCAACTCGCCTCCGCTAATCTTTTTTTCATAAAAATATAAACGGAAACAACAAATATTATCCTCGATTAATTTATATTAATTAATATTTACCCAAAAAACTGAATTAATTAATTAATCAGGACCCATTTGATATACGAGCTTTATTTAATGAAATTGACAAAGTAGTCATTAATAGAAGACTGAAGACCCATCTGAAATCTAAATTATTGTCTCCTTTTGTTGTAATTAATAATTATTAATAATTTATGAGCTGTAAATTGTGTTTAGACTTTAGTCAATTATTCTATGAATAGTTAAAATTAGTTAATCAGTTCCTTGTTTTTATGAATTCAAGGGTAATTTCGTCATTTGGTCGTCAATTCAATTATTTTTTCTGCCAATGTTTGTCTCATATGAACAAGGATTCAGTTACCTTTTAACAGAGGTAGAAACAGGGGTGAGGAGGGAAGCAGGTTTGGTTTACTTTTTCCTGCAAACCAGAGAGAGGTTGTATTTCCGGTAAATGATTCTCTGATTCCCTTGAGTGGGATCAGAGGATCATCTCCCACCAGTTTCAAATAAGAAAAAAAATAAAAAAAAAACTGCTTGTACATTCGGTTCTGCAGCTCTGCCCATGAAACTACACAGAAATTTTCAAAGTTTAATAGATTTCGGCTTCTCATAAAAGCGGATATACTCAAATACGTATAAGACATCAAAGAGGACGGAGAATTTCTCAGATGGGGATCTCTCAAAAAGATGGGAAAATGGAAGGTTGGTTATATCTAATTCGTTCCAACCGGATTGGACTCCAGTACTCGCGAAAACGGTATTTCATTCTCCAGAATAACTGCCTTAAGAACTTCAAATCAATGCCAACGTCGGAAGAAGAGGTACTTTCCATTTTCCTTTCGTTTCTTCCTGTTTAAATTTTAATGGCGCCGTAATAACAATCTGCAACTTTCAAAGTCGTTCTTTTTGAATTTCTGCTTTTCTATAGTAGCCGGGACGCAGAATCCATTTATTTCTTTTCCCCCCTCAATTACATGTTATTGTGATGAAAATCAGTGGCTTATTGAATTTTCTTGTATTTGAATATCAATTATTAGAAGAAACCTACGTGCCACAAATTGGTATTATTGTTTTACCTTTGATATCTATCTATGTTCTATCCATCCAGACATGCTTTTCGTTGTGCTTAAAGGCTAGTTGTCTTCAAATTTGATTGTTTGATCTTTATTACCAATAACCCATGTTTTAAAAAGAGCATTCAGTTTTCTTCATTTCCGTTTTCCTTGTTTGTTATTGCTGCCCATCAACACGAATGAATCCTGGAGTTCTTTGTTTTTATTTGACAGTTGTTGCCTGATCTCTAACTTGAAAATCCCATACAAAAGAAAGAGATCTATATGGGCTTTCTTCTTTCATTTCTCGAGTTAGAAGTATTGACCAAAACAGTTCTGGGGTTTTTCTACTTCACATGTATGACTGATGGCGTAGCAGAGTTTTTGTAGGAAAGCCATCAAGTCCGGACTCTTGGTTGAGTTGAGGATTTATTTTCCATATTTCGCTTCTTTTGTTGGCCTGTCAATTAGTTTTGAGTGTACAATTCTTTGTTTAGAATTTGATGGTATATCTGCCTATGAATTGTGGTTGTTTGGGGACACAAAAATTCGGAGATCACAAAAGGGGAGTTGGGGGAAGAAAGAAAGAAAAGAAGATTATAAACACTAAATTATTATGCCACACAAGCTGTTCAAATGCATGGTGATGATAATGAGAAGTTAATGACGAAGTCCTTCTGGCATGGTTTCACAATGATAGATCTTAGAATGGAATGTTTTTTGGATCCATATTTACACCATGAAGTAGTGGGAAGAGCTTTTACATGGCCAGCATTTTCTAATGCTCAATTGATGTATCATGCATGACCTTTTAAATTAGAAGTAAAGGATATCAGGAATTACCATTAAAATTTACTTACAATAAGAAAACGGACAATATATCAAAATGAGAAAATGACATGAGTTAATTTGTACACATGGAACATATATGTGAAGAAGATAGGTAATAACATGGTAAAATCTCGGGATCACAAGCATGAGAACACAGGTTTGAGTATGAGAGCGGCCACTTTGTGTAAAAAATGCCAAAGGTTAGATCTGTATCCAGTCCATCCCTCCCAAGACCACAAATAGTTGGGACCAACATTGGGTAATGGCCTTTTTAGTGCATATATGTGAAGAAGATAGGTAATAGCTTGTGCATCTTATATACCAAACTTCCATAACAAAATCACAAAAGGGAATTTCCAAATGAATGTCACAATAAGGAAGTTTAGGAAACCAAGCAACAAACAGTGTTGGAGGAATAAAACTGATATTCAGTAAATCAAGATAGTAGAGACTAATTTGTTTGTATAACTACATTGGAAAAGTGATGCATGTGTAAAATTATAATGTGTCTCACTAATTTATGGATAGAATCATCGATAAGTGAATCGAATTCAAATTAAATCAAGCAATATTCAAATTCGAATTCGATTTAATATTCTGGCTTCCTTGTTAGAATCATGTCACATGTGTTGATATGCTTAAGAGCCATAGGTTGTATAAAACCTTGACTTTTAGGCTCAGTTTGGAAGGAGTACAAATACAAATATGTAGAGTGCAAAACCTCTTATTTTGTATGTATTTGTACTGTACATATTTGTATTTGTACTTCTTCCAAACTGAGCCTTAAAGGGATTTCAAGAAGGGCTTTCCAAAGAAGATAGCTTCACAGGATCCTTGAAAAGGATTTCTTAGAAAACAGGTCACTAGAATGAAAAGAGCAAACTCTAAAATCAGAAAACTGAGTTGACAAAAACCTCTTGTTCAGAGATTCGAGAAGTTTGATGGACTCCCTAATCTTGGTTCTGTCAAGGAATCTAAAGTTCAGCCAACAACAAGAAATAGATAGAATGAACTCATTGGGCAATAATATTGAATTTTAATCATGTTATGATTATTTTGTAGTTTGTTTCTATTCATATCCAACTGTTCAAGGCTTTGAGCATTTGATATACTTATATAAGATTAGCTTGGCTGTTGTTCTTTCTTCTCAATAAACATAACCAATTGTGAATGTAATCTGGTAGGAGGGCTAATGCAACTTTTTTCTTTCTTTTTTCTGATCAGGATCCTCTAAGAAGTGCAATAATAGATTCTTGCATCCGTGTCACAGACAATGGGAGGGAGAACATTAGTAGAAAAGTATGAACCTAGGCCTTTTTTTCCTTTTTCTTTTCTTTGAGGCATTGATGCCCCTACCCATCTTTTTGTTTTTGAGATAACATAGCTAGTAGACCAATAAAAAATAAATAAACAGATAAAAATAAAGGTGGCAGGTATTTGCTCTTTTCTTGGTCTTCTATTGATACTTTTCTGTGGCTTGTAGGTATTCTTCATTTTTACACTTTATAATACTTCTAATCATAGTGACCGGCTTAAGGTATGTAAAATCTATTGTAAGGACATTGCAACATGTTATATTTAAACTTAATAATTTTTTGGTTACTATGGTTGGAAATGTCTACTTTGTAGTTGGGAGCAAGTAGCCCAGAAGAAGCAGCAAGATGGATTCGCTCCTTTCAGGAAGCTGCATTGAAGGTTACAAAATTCCTACTTTTGATTAACTCACTAGTGATGTCCCTGTTGACATTGACAAAATGTTGATTCTTCTTTCTTGTTATTTTTTCCTTTCTTTTTCTTTTTTATTCATAGGAGTACCCGGGAGAACATGTCACATCCTTTCCCGATGGCCAATGGCAATCATTTAGGTAAATTATGGATCTACATATGCATTTAAGAAAGGGGACTACTCCTTGGTTAGGTGTTTTTTTGTTTTCTTGAACTCGCACATTTGGATTTCATTTTAGAAGGTAACTTTTTGATCAGGAAAAATCCCTTCGTTACAATTTATTTTTTGTTCTTTCAAAAAAATCATCATGTTGAAATAGTTTGATGCATATACCAATACAGTAAAGTTTGGCTCATAGTTGGTATTTTAATTTATAAAGATCTTACAAAGACATATGTATGGCATATGCATACATACCCACATGGAAATGCATATTGAGACTACCCCCACCCCCACACCCCAAAAAGGAAAAACTTAACCACCTGTTGTAGCCTTGTAGGGGAGGCCCCAAACTTCCAAGTCATGTTGTTGCTCTCTGGACTCTGGAGACAAGATAATCTTCATGAGTAGAGCTTGAGAAATGACAAGAAACATTAAATAGCAGCTGGTTCAGTTCTGAAAATGTAAATTGTGTTTAAAATTTCAGTCATTGGGTAGGTCATTTAGGATTTATTGAGTTTTCTTATAATAGTGGGAATCCTGTAATATCTGTTTTTTCTAGTTATTGGACTGGCCATCCCTGTAGCGTCTATATATGTGTGTGAAGTGTAAAGGCATGGAAGTAGATATTGGCATGATATTTGAGTAATTTTTCTGCAAATTGTACTTGTGGTGAGTGATTCCCAATGACTTAGAGTTATTTAAGGCACCTTGTTGATTGATTCTATTATTGTAGTAGAAAGCCTTATGTGCTGATTCGGCCAAGCTTCTTGTGAAAGGAAGAGGAGAAAGTTGGGGGTTTCAGCAATAGACAGAGGAAAGGGAAGAAAAGGAGAAGAAGGTCGACTAGGATAGTGATACATAACCCTAGCCGCCAGCCCCTCATTCTATTTATAATTAACATAAATATGGGATATTACAAAGATGCCCCTAGTAGGGCGGCAACTCAAACTAAGTACTTGCAATTCTTTTAAAAATAAAAGACTAATGGGCCCAAGGCCCAACAACTTCTTAATTTAAATGAAAACAAACTAAACATAAATCGGCCCACTCAACAATTGTTTTCCTCTTTTCTCTATCTTCTCTTTGATTCTGCAAACAACCATTACAATCATTAACAGCTCTCAAGTTCTTCATAATAGGATTTCATTTAACATTCCTAAAGGTTTAAAACTGATCCAGGTGTGTTTTCTTCAATGTTTACATCAAAATCCAAAATTTCCCATTTTGGCAGCATTCGTCCTTTTGTGACAAACCATGTCTGGTTTGTGTCATACTTGGACACCYCCATATACCTTGATAACCTTTTATCATAACAAATATCATCCTGAAATTTCACCTAGAACCCCAGATTCTCTAGTATTCTTGTTTTTTCCCAGCCCCTGAATTTTTGTCCTTTCTTTGCAAGATATACTCTGAATCTAATCAAACTTCAAACTTGGTTGCTCCTTACATATATCTAGGATAAATCTACAAAGTTCCATTCGAAATTTCCAGCCATAGGCCTGTTTTTCTCAAATTGAAACTTTTCACACTTTTAAGACAAATTTATAATTCTTGTGATGATGTGATCAAGCCTTGAGACCTTTTCTAACCTAACCAATCCCTGTTTGTAGTCCTAAAATCTCCCCTAAATCCATCCTAACCCTCCTAGACTCATCCTTTAGTCATTCAAGTCCAACATCTGTTGGTATTAGAGCAGGCAGTCCTACATTAGTAAGCTTTGTGGATGCACCATGCCTCTTAGCTAAGGACTATACAACCATTGTATATGGAGCTAGTCTTGTGCTAGAAAAAAAATTGTTTTTATGGTTTTGTACATTTTTCAAACTTATATTATCTACTTCTAGTTTTTGGCATCCTTCAGATTATATATTTAGATAGAGAAAATCTAAACCCTAACTCAAGAAAGCCTTAACCGAACTGTATGGGGCTGACTGCACAAGTCCTATTTCACCATTCCACTCTATCTAGGGCTATATTATGAGTCCCCAGATCTTTTTTTGCTACCTCAAGCCATGTCCTTTTCAGCTTTCTCCTAGCTCTTCTAGAAGCATCAACTTGTAATTCCTTGCTGGCACAGTAGGTGTCTATTATGAACATGTAGAAACCATATTAGTCTAATTCCTTTGTTTTGTCACCAATTGAGGCTACTCGTAAGTTTTTTTTTGAAAAATGAGATTTTCTGTTAGAAAAAGAGGGAGAGGATCCCACAGAAGCTATATAAAAAAAAACACCATCCAGCAGCTAAATGCTACTCTACATCAAAGGCTAGCCGGCATGCTGTTGTCATGCATAATTCTGTACCATGGATTACAAAAATAGAGGATGAAAAGTTTGAAAACTCCCTGTGGGTTCTTGATGAAAAATGGTTTACCTTTCCAGCTGCCCCAGTATCACCTCCTTTACCACCCTTTTGCCCTTGAATACCTTCTGTTTCTTTCTTTCCAAAGGCCCCAGCAGATTGAGAAAGGTATCAGCTTCCATAAAATAGTCCTCCTGCTAAGCCCTTTGAGCATCCAAGCAGCCAACATTCTATGCAGGAACCTGTCTTGGCATCACCTATTGGATTCTAAATAATTGTAGGAAATATGACCAACAACTATGGGCCATAGAACAGTGAATTAAAAGATGATTTACAGATTCTTCCTCCTGAAGGACAAGCAGCACCTGTTAGCCAGTTGCACAGCCCTATTCCTTCTGGCCTTGCTACATCCATTTCAACATCCTTCTCTAAGCTATGCTTTTTTTTTTCATGACCTGCTTCTTGGTTGCCCAACACACTGATCTATGCAGCATAATGAATTGCTTAAGTTTTCTGTTATTGTTATTATTACTTTCATCTTCATCACCACCACCACCACTATAATCATCATTACCTTGGAACAGGTTTGCTAAATGAGTCATTTAGGGAAGCTCTCTAAATGATCTAAGAATCTTCCAAATGGAAAAATGGCAAATGAGTTTGGAGTGCAAAAGGATTCCCTTTGCTCCCCTTCCCACTCTATATTCATGGAACAATTTTCGCCCAGGAGACCTTGCCACATGTTCAAAACAAGCCTTTTCTTATAGGTAAAGTTAATACCAAAAAATTTAGAACTTTGAAAGGTTATATTAGTTGGGAAAACTATGAATGCAAGGTGAGATATAAGGCTGATGTGGACAACCACATAATCCACCCATGTGGCAGAAATGGGGTAAGTTGTGTAAGGGATGCCCCTCTTGACCTAATAAAAAACAATGCTATCAACAACATCATCTAATCTTAAGGAAGTAAAATCGTGCATCCACTTTGAAAACAGGGAAATGGAGTATGATGACAGAAAAAAAAAAAAATCATTTTTCTCCTGATATATTTTTTTGTTGCACTGCAAGTAGTTTAAATTTCTTCTTTTTCTTTACAACTATTTCCTTACCACCATCTAAGGTGTCATTGAAGTCCACTATTTTGTTAACTCAATTACAATTGCACGTGGAAGTTTCAGATAACAATAATTTACTTTACATTTTCTCATAATAATAATAACAACAATAACAACAAATCGAAGCATGGTGTAGTGATGGATTTGTTTCTTTTCAATCTAAAGACCCAACTTATTTTGTTTTTCAATAATTAAAGGCATGGCTTCAAAGATGCCCATTTGTAGTTTATATCAATGTTTTCAACCTGCAGTTGGACTTAACGATGAAACTGATTGACTTGTCACCAAGCCAGATTTCTGGTTCTATTTCACTCCCAAACTTTTTTTTTTTTTGGCAAGAAACCATTAATTTTGTCAATAACCAAATGACCTAACAAGCTGAACTATTGATCCATTTGATCTGATGATCAATGGGCCACGAATTAGACATTAATTATCTTATTCTATTTTATTGTATTTTTAGCCATTTCTATCATTAATAACTAGGAATAGCAACAGGGAAAAGACCGTATTCCCCATCCCCATCATCCCCATCCCCAATCCCCACGGGGAGAAAAATGAACCTCCATCCCCGATCCTTAATGGAGATAGATTCCCATCATGGACCTGAATCCTCAAATTCTTTTTTTACTAATTAAAAGCTTGCCTTAGGAAAAAAGATTTACTTTGAAAGAAAAGTCATTAATCTAAACTGGTTTAGCACTTAACTAACATCGTTAATCATCAAGATAACATAGAAATTGAAATTTGTCCAATATATGTAGTGGCATTGTTGTAATTATTATAGAACTATTTGCAAAATTTAAAATAAAATAATATTTTAAAATATAAATTATATATATTTTATTTTCGAGGCTAGGGCAGGGTAGGGCAGGGACTTCATTCCCCATCTCCGTCCTTGTCCTTGCTAGAGTAGTCTCCATGCCTAACCTGATTGGGTCGGGGAGGCTGCATACTCAATAGGGATGGGGAAAGTTGCCATCCCTGGTAATAACAATAATTCTTATTTATCATACATTTTTATTTGATATGATGAATATATAATATTAAATACATGCCTAATATTTCTACAAAACTTATGAAATTCTGTATATTTGTCTGCCATTTATATTTTTATTATTTAATTTATGACATCACAAATTAACTTGTTTGACTTGGATGATTGAACTGCGATCTTGTCACCTGGAGTCAAAAAAAGACTCAAGGTCCATTCCCAATTTTTGTGGTAGTACAGATATTTGATCTTCTGAATCTTGGTATTTGATCGACTCTTTAATGCTATGGAAGAAATTAATACTTTCTATTAGTTATTGGGACCTAATATATCTATTTAAGTTAAATATTCACCAGAAGTTGTATCTGCAGTCCTACTTGTTGAGCTTTCAATATTCAGATAAACTCTCCATTGTATAACTAAACTATGTATGCATCCTTTTTCTTGAGTGCCTATTATTAAATTAAGAGTTTCCGGACTCCTTCATTGATTTGTTTTCCATTATCATGATGTCATAATGACATCATTTCATTGAACTATGCTCTTGCATTGGTTATATGTGTATGCAATTTTTTACATCAGGTGTTAACCTAACTATGCATTTGGTCTCTCGTAATATCTTTTTTCTTTAAAAGCGCCATAAGATTAGAGATGTGTTTTTACCTTAGACATTCTCTTATTTATAGTTCTTCCTTGTGACAGGTTAACTGGTTCCAAGAGGGTGAGCCGCATGAATTCCATAGACTGGACTCTTTGTTCATCCATGCAAACAGATCCAGTGGCATCTGATGTTGTTGCACCCTCTTCATGGACAATCTTTGGCTGTCAAAATGGCAAGCATTAATTATTTATTTGCCTTTTAATATAACTAAATGCAAGCATATTTACATTATGAGAACTTGTGCAGGGTTACGGTTATTTAAGGAGGCAAAAGATAAGGACTCCGACAAGAAGGTGGGTGGTATCTTACTTGATATGTGAATTCTGATTTTAGATATACTTCTGGTGCTGAATATGGTTCTATCCTCAGTACCGGGATGAGCATCCAGCAACAATGGCTGTGGGCATAGTTGATGGAACTTCAGAGGCCATTTTCCGGGCACTTATGTGTCTTGGTCCCTCAAGATCAGAGTAAGATGGATGGAGTTTATCTCTTATTTGACTTTAAATTTGTTATATTATGAAGAACTATGTAAAAGGGATTATATCATTTATATTATAGTGGAGCCTGCTTATCTTCCATACACTGCTTTACATGAACCTGGGCCATGCAGTCAATGAGCTACCTATTGCAAAAGAAAAAAAGAATATGACGATGAGAAACTAATAAAATTGCATGAGCTTCTTATCCTGAGACATTTGAATAACCAACAAATATGAGCTAGATTCCAATTGGGGGAAATATATAAATAAAGAAATAAATTGGAAGCAGATTTCCAGAGCCAGACTCTTAAGGTAATTCATGTGAACATATTTGAGGGCCACATGTAACAATATTGGATGACAGATTGATAAGCATGTACTGTGGTAGGGAGGTTACATCTTAAATGGTGTCTTGCAAGTGTTTTGGGAAAGTAATCTGTAAAAGCTAACACAAGCTTCCATGGAGAAGTATGAATCATACAGTTTGATAATGTCAAGAAATGACTAATAAAAAAATAATGTCAAGAAATGCAACACTATTATAAATTGTAATTCATAGAAACATGGTGCTTAAAAAAGTCGCAACGAGATTGAAATTAATAGGTTGTTCATAGGAACAACTGAGGGGAGAAAACAATATTATCTTTTAATAATCAAACACTTGCATCAATGTGCACCCATCATCGGTCTCTTTTACTCAAAAATGGAGTCTCCTTTATAAAGTTTATACTTAATTGTGTATCTTTCTTTGGTAGATGGGACTTTTGTGTTTACCAAGGTAGCGTGATTGAGCATCTTGATGGTCATACTGATATTATTCACAAAGAATTAACTGGTGATTGGTTACCTTGGTCAGTTCTGTAACCTCTTTTTTATTTCAGTTCTTAGAGAGAATTCTTTCATGGTTCCTGGTGTTTATATCACAGTTTGTTTGCACTTTGCAGGGGAGTGAGAAGGAGAGATTTACTATTGCGGCGTTATTGGAGAAGGGAGGAGGATGGAACATATGGTAACAATATCTAAACAAAATTTTTTAAAGGCCATCCAAGATCTTGAATCATTCCCATCAAATTCTAACTCCTTCCTATTCTTCTCTGATGCAGTAATTCTCTACCATTCAGTGTTTCACAAAAAGTGTCTACCTCAAAAAGGCTATGTTCGAGCCTGCCTTAAAAGTAATGTATGCTTGTATTTGGAAATAAATAATATCTTTCTTTTAGTCTTCCTGTGATTTTCTTATACTGTAAATATCTGGGATTAGAAGACCTCGTATAACAGTTTTAGAACAGAATCTACCAGAATTATGAGGTCAGTCAGATGAACACCATGTACAATCTCTAGTTCTATGATGCAATGCACTAATTGTGAATACCCATTTATTCTAAAAGCATGGTATTTTTATCTATCTTATGTTTTTTTTATCAGTGATTTTTATCCATCTTATGTTCTTTTTCCACTTTCCCCCAATTCTGTGACATGTAAGATATAACTGTCAAAGAGTGGCAAGAATTGAAACATAAGAAACATCTTGTCAGTTACCATCCTTGCTTCTATTATTCATAAGAAATGCATCAAGGATCATTGGTTAGGCATGGCAAGCCAGTTAAATGGGTGATCTGGGAAAGGTTTTCTGTAATTTTTTTCATGGGTAGAGATGATTGGTTTCTTAAAAATTGACCTCTGGATTAATTTCAGGGTTGGCTTTGTTAAAGCCCACCATGCAAGCTTGTAGTATCTACTAGGAAAAGGGAAAAGAAAGAAAAACATTAATACCCACTTACCCTAAATAGGGTCTTATGCATGAGGGCAAGAGAATGGACTGCACCTCCTTCCTTCCTCCTAAGAGAGGCAGACACTACTGCAGGGCAGGATGCTAGAAGGACAAGCCCCCTTCCAATATCTCTCTCTCTCTCTGAGCAATAAAATGATTCATCACCCAACTTTGGCACCACTCTAGGCATGGTGCACCCCAGGAAAAAGGCATACTAAAGACAAAGATTGACCTATCTTTTAGTGTTACTGAATTTAGGGTGATGCATCTTTTGCTTCCTAACATTTCTTGTATTTTATTTTCTTTTTCCCCACTTTATTGTCTTGCCATGTCCTATCCCAACAGCGAATCCCTATTAGGGAAGTCTAATTTAATTAAGAGGTTAGGTTCACTAGACTCAGGGACAAAGTGAAGCAACACCCACACCAAAACCTGACCAGTTGCCATCCTTAGGTGTGGTCCCTTCCCAACACTAGAGTAGAAAAGTGCTGAAATAAAAATCTGTAAAAGAAAAGAATATTTCTTGAAGAAGAAGAGAAGAAAGGAGAAAAGGAAGAGAAGTGATTTGAGAGAGAAAAGAGAGCAATAATGTTGGCCGCCCTCTTCACTATTATTTATAGTCTAAAATAATAAAGAATACAAAGACCAATATGCCCTTATAGGGCGGCTAACACATAAAACAGCATAAAACAATTAAAATAACTGCTCAAAAAGGACCCAACAAGAGTGTTGTGGTCCCCACTTCCTTTTAAACAATAAATAATCAAAAACTACCACTATAGACTACACAATTTATCTAAACCTCAACACTCCCCCTCAAGTTGGGAGTAAATGTCACATATTCCCAACTTGCATAGATTGTATTCAACCTTGTTCTTTGCAACCCCTTTGAGTGAAGACATCAACCAATTGTAGTTCGAAGGAGACATAAGGCAAGCAGACTTCTCTAGTTGTCACCCTTTATCTTATGAAGTGCTTATCAACCTCAATGTGTTTGGTCCTGTCATGCTAAATTGGATTGTGGGAAATATTGATTGCAGCTTGGTTGTTACAATATAGCATCATGAGCTCCTTAGCTTTTATTCCAATCTCACTCAGTAGAGATCTCACCCAAAGTAGTTCTGAAACACCATGAGCCATAGATTTATATTCAGCCTCTGCGCTTGATCTAGCCACAACTGATTGTTTTTACTCTTCCATCAAACCAAGTTTCCTCCCATAAAGGTGCATACCCTTGATGTAGATCTCCTGTTATCTAAGAAACCTGCCCAATCTGCATCTATGTAGGACCCCAACTTTAAATTTTCATGGTTTGAGAAAAGAATCCCTCTACCAGGATGCTTGTTTAGGTATGCAAGTATCCTCTCAATGGCTTCCCAGTGCTGAACCCGAGGAGCATGCATATACTGGCTCACAACACTAACAACATAAGAGATGTCTGGACGTGTCATACATAAATATAGTAGTCGGCCTACCATCCTCTAATATCTTTCCACATCCTTAACTAACTCACCATCCAAAGCATTAATTCTATGATTTCGGTCAATAGAAGTATTAACTGGTTTAGTTCCTAGCTTCCCAATCTCCTGTAGTAAGTCCTACACATACTTCCTCTGAGATATGAAAATCCCATACTTGGATCTTGCAACCTCAATCCCAGAAAGTATTTCAGTTCCCCTAGATCCTTGATCTCAAATTCTTGCTATAGTGACTTCTTGAGTGCATCAGTCTCCTTCAGATCATTTCTTATAACAACTATATCATCTACATATACAATCAATACTAACGAGAGTGCCTCTCTCCTTTTTACAAAGAGAGTATGGTCAAATTGAGTCTATGTACCCAAAACAGATAAGTGCTCCTCTAAACCTATCAAACCATGCCATAGGTGACTGTTTCAAACCATATAGTGATTTCTTCAGCCTACAAACTTTTCCCTTACCAACATTCTCATGAAATCTAGTTGGAATGTCCATATATACCTCCTCTTGCAGATCACCATTAAGGAAAGCATTTTTAACATCAAGCTAGAATAGAGGCCATGAATAGGTAGCTACTAGGGACAAGAGAATCCGAACTGAGCTCATCTTAGCAACTGGTGCAAAAGTCTCCAGGTAATCAATACCATAGGTTTGTGTATACCCTTTTGCAACCAACCTTGCCTTGTACTTCTCTATGCTTCCATCAGCCCTGTACTTCACAGTGAACACCCATTTGCATCCAATTGTCTCTTTATATGTAGGAAGATCAACTATTTCCCATGTTTGATTCTTAACCAAGGCTTCCATTTCTTCTTACATAACTAGTTTCCACTTAGGTTTGGAGAGAGCCTCACTGACATTCCTGGGTATAGACACAGAATCCAAGGAAGAAAGGAAAGCGCGGTGGGTGATAAGGCACTGTAGGAGAGATGGTGTGAAATGCAATGGGTTGTACACTTTCTCTTCCCTTTGCGGAGTGCAATGGGAAGATCAAGATCAGTGGGATCAACTGCCACAATAGTGTTAGGTATAGAAACATCATTATCAAGGGAAATAACAGGCTCAGGCTCAAGGGAAATACCTGGAATTGTATCAGCCGAACCTGGGATCTCAGATGGACCAACGGAGAGTGGTGCAGGTTCTTCTATTTGAGCATGTGTGGAGTCAACCCTCTTCTAGTGGCGCTGATAGACCTGTGAGGCCGGTCGTAGTGGATCAGGTAGTGGGACTATAGCTGCTGATGGTGGAATGGGTGGATCAGATGAAGGAATAAATGACACAGGAATCGGGACAAATTGTGAGTTCTCCTCCCCAAAACACTCCCCCTGAGGAGAACCACCCAAGAAAAAGAAAGTAGACTCAAAAAAGGTAACATCCATTGTGACAAACCTGCTCCCCAACACTGGATCATAATAACAATACCCCTTTGGTTTTGAGCATACCCAAGGAAAACACATTTCTTGGCCTTAGGATCCAATTTCTTGCGATGAGGACCAAGAATGTAAACAAAGGAGACACACCCAAAGACTCTCAAAGGTATATGAAATATCTCCCCATCTGGAAAAAGCAAGCTGAAAGGTGCCTTAAACCCCAAAGTGTGTGAATAGGGGTGTCAATTGGACTAGATTTGGTCTAATCCGGTCCAATCCAATATTGGTCCATTTACAAATGGACTGGACCAAATCCGGTCCAAACCCCATACAAACTGGATTCAATCCAATCCAATTGAAATGCAAATGGACCAGATTGGACCCAATCCGGTCCAAATTAAATGTTTTTCTCATAAAACATTTTCCCTAGAAAATATTTTGGTTGCAACTAAAATAATGAAGGGAAACAAAATGTTTTCCTCAGAAAATAATACTCAATAAGGAATAAATTATTTCCTTAATTTCTTAGAAAATAAACAAAATGGTTTCCATATTAAGAGTTTGTTTCACCACCTTGGTGGACTTCACCAAACAAAAGATTGGGTCATACAGTGCTACAAGCTGATACCATCAAATGCCTGATGCAATAAAAGCTGATATGTCATAACAGATGCATCATCAGGCTTCAAAATGACAATTTTATTTGAAGCTAAAGGACTATCACCTCTCTTCAATGGGTTTCTACCTTGAGATTTCTTCCTCCAAAAGAATCTATGCATGTTCAGTTTCTGAATCTGTTTGTGAATGACAAGCTCTTCACATTGCCTTGACATGCCAGTTTCTTCCTTCTGACAGCTTCGCTTCTTCTAATGATTCAACTGGTCCAACTTTCTCTGCCTGAACATCTTGTATCTGATAGAAGTTTTCCAGTAAAACGACCTTGGTTGAATTGAAAAATACTAATCAAACCCCACATACAGCCAGATTGGTCCTTTTCACGTCGAGCAGGGCATCTCTGTGATCTCTTTGCCATAGTGAATGAAAATTACTCAACTCCACTACCTGAAGACTGAAGTTAAGCCAAACCAACCTTTCTAACCTGAGTACATCAAACCTAATGAAGAGAAAACAGGGATACACAATTAAGAAGATGAGTGGTTTGTATTGAAAGAAAATATATTTTTCCAACATTAAAAAAATTCCAATATACATGATGTTGTTATTTGTTAAAGCATTGCTAAAGCATAAATACAATAAAAGGAACAAATACAGAAAATAACATCCTACATAACCACAAACTTAAAAACAGTTACAGATTCCAAACAAAATATCAAATAATATGATTATGGGAGCTTGCTAATAATCCAGAGAAACTGAAGTTATCTATAGTTAATACATCAAATTCAAGAATGGCTCTCTATCTTTGCTGAATAAGAACAAAGTCCAGAATAAAATCAGAGAAGATAAGAAATTGGTGCATTTTAGACACTGCTGACTGATTTAGACAAAAAGGAACCAAAAAAGTATGAAAGGTAAATAAGATATGCATGTCA